CAGCAAGCACGGGATCAACTCAAGAAAGAATTATGCGAAGAGAATTGGATTGCTTTAAGGTATGTTTGGTACTACGAAGACCCATATATAGTTATTCCGGAACATCTTCGAGAATTGGGTCTCATTGAATAAACTCGAAACTTTAAATGTTGATTTATTTTAAACAACGCAAAGTATTATATTTACTATTTTTTTGATTATACATAGTGATTATTATTATGCATAAAGATTAAGATAAACAGATTAATCCATCATTTTGAAACTTAATTACACCTATCTAAGTAACTTTTTCCTTTGCGGACTATCCGGTAAGTCTCGCATATATTGTATTTGCAGTGGCGGAGTACTTGTGCCATTTTGATAAGTTCGACAATTGTAGTTCTCAGCAATTTTACTGATCCGTTCCTAACAATGCAAAATATAAATGAAAGATATCATTAATCATTTCATTACGAACTCAAAAATGAAATATATGGTATATATGTGTACCTCCAGTGCCATAAAGTGCCGAATGTTTGACTCAAGCAAAGGAATGGTGGTTTTATCTTTAACCAGTCGGGTGGTTAAAAAAGGCCATGACCGGTAAAGTCCATCGTATTTGAGGTCCATAACGTACGATTCCACCAAATCTCCTGAAGATATCAGGTATGGTTAAATATACTTAATTAACTGAAGTGAAATCAAGCTTTATCAATTACAAGCGCACATACCTTGATTTGTTAACATTGCCGTTTCTTCCGGACCACCTTTCGTTCTTAACAGCTGATTGATGGATTTACGCCCTCGCAATTGTACTTTCAATCTATCTTTTTGTTGTTGGAGAGGTGTAAATCCGGGTGGCTTAATCTCTGAATTCAAAATAGGGATTTCATTGACCAAGCACGAAAAATCCGGCCTTGTTGCAGTACCAGCTGTCGCACGATTCAACTGAATATTGTACTCTTTGTATGAACTAGTAAAAAACAGTGGTCGAATGATTGGATGTAACAACTTGAAACAGTGCTCATCTTCTGATGTTTTGGTCGGGGCAATGTCAGGAACACTGCTACACCTGTTATGCGCGAAAAAAAAATTAAGAGGCAGATCCGATCTCAATTTACACGCTTTATAAGATGAACGCTTACATGTCGTTAAAGATTCGAGAAACAGCTCGGCCGATTTCAGAATCGCCTATGGACAAAAAGGCGGTCTTTCCTTCCAAGGAATCGGCCGATGCACTCCGTAAAGAAGATAAAATTTCCGTTGGCAGAATTGAATCAGCTACAATGTAAGGATTCTCACGTATAATCGTTTGCCATTCCCGGTTAGTGAAAATATGAGAGGGATAAGGACAATGCAAGCTTAAAACAATTATCGAAGACAATGCTCTATCAAAGCATAAATAGAAATCGTTAGCATAATACATTATCCAATATTATTACATCCAAAATACTTACAGCACTTCATGAAAGTCACTCCATTTTAGTCCATAAATCTTCGCTTTCTCAAGTGTTTCTATCTGGTAATTTGAATCTTTGCGATACATTGACCGTACCGACCTTCCACTAAAAGCGGAAAGCAAATTGTTAAGATATGTAGAATAAAAACACCAGAGTCTTTATATGTGGCATACCTCATTTGATTGTTCCTGTAACAACTCCATTTCAACACTTGTGAAATCAAAATTTATTTCTCCGTCATCATCAGGCCCTACATCAGAAGAAGGCAACTGCAAGGAAGAATTTTCACTTTTATTTCTCGATTTCTGGGTCTTAGTCCTTGACGTGTTTTTCTTTTTCGTCTAAATATAGTTAAATATACATAAGTTTTTATGTTATCTTAGCTTTACCATCTATAATTTTTTTCCCACCTTTTTATGATTTGGCAATTCGACTTTTTCATTTAACATTTCCTGAGAGTACTTATATTCAGTAATCTGTTAGCATTAGAACAAATCCCAATTTTGAAATAGTCCGAACTTTGATTGCTAAAAACATTACTACCATACCTCATCTTCCTCATTCTGATTAGTTGCATTCTTCAGATCCTTTTCATGCTGAGATACATAAAACGGATTATTGCCAGCATCTACGGTCATTTCTCCCTCATTAAACTTCCGTTTAAGGGCTATTATTTCGCATCAAGAGAAAAGATTAAAATATATAATACAGGATGTAATGAAAGACGAGTTGATATATTACCAGGTTGTATAGTCTCCCGCGTAGTGTTAGAAAGTGCTTCGCTAAAATCAGTCTGCAGGCCTAACACTTGGTGAATTATGTTTTTTGAATTTGTAATTGATGCCTTTCTTAATGCTTCCATAACAGTAGAACTGTTGTCCCAAAACTCTTTGACTTTGGACGATTTTATATCCTTCTAATATATGTAGAAAAAAAGAACAGATTGCCGTGATACCTTTAGACTCATCCAAAGGTAAAAAGTGCACCCAAAAGACTCATCTCTCAGGAATTCAGACTCATCCTAGCACTTTCGGCAATTAGTGAAGAGACCACAACAAAAAGCATTCTCCAGACTCATCCAGAGAAGTTTTGGACTCATCCTAGCCTTTGCTACAATCTCAAAACTTGCTACAATCAAAACAAACAAAAAAAAATTCCAAACCTCAAATGAACTAATACAATTCGAGACCAGCTTTTCTACGAGTTCACTGCTACAAGACTTTAGTAGTTGCGGTTTGAGATGAAGTTTCTCTAAACAAACTTTATATAAAAGGTGTTCGTTCTGTTTATCCCCGAAACTTTTTGCGAACACTATACTCCACTGTAAGAAATCGATCAAGCTCCACATTTCATTGCTTTCGAAATAAGGAAGTCTAGATTCCCAACGCATCTTCATAGGTAGTCATGATTTAGAGGTTTAAAAAAAAATACTACCAGTCATGGGACATGTCCGAATAGTGATGATCAGCATGCTGATCACGTCAGTTACTCCTATTGATGCAAATTTCCCTCACATGATTTATATGCAAAAAATGCACTTGAGAAGTCTATCAAGTCGTATGAGCCTTTTGACATCCTCTTCCTTTAGTTTCCTTAAAGATCTTCGTTTGAAGTTGGAGTAGCTGTAATAAGTATTAGATACCGAGCTTGTTAAACGTTTGCTCAAGTGTTTTATTTCACAACTCTTACATCAAACTCAAACTAACGTTTCAGCTGTCTTTAAACACATCTCACTTTGATAATTATTGTAGAAAAGTCAATGAAAGATATAATACTGGCGAACGTTTGTATAAACCCGACCTTCGGTACACATACTCCTAGCTATTTGCGTAGTTATATTGTTACAAGTGGGAAATGGGATCAACTTCAGTGTATTATACGTAGACAGTGCGAACGTGAAAGGGCAATGCGTATGAACTGTTGCAGACAGAATCTTCACTTCTGCCTTCACTGAAATATTACTATTGGTGTGGTTACACTATGTATACACTTACTACGAAACAACAAGTCATTCAAGTCATGTCTCTTAGTAAAACTTGCACTCTGTACCAAATGTTAACAGTTACCATATGTGAAGCATACTTATGAACACATTCAACTCGACAAAAACCCAAAACACCTGATCGTAAGTAGTAATGTCATATTAAGACAATACCGTTGAAAACACTCTCATAAGTAAACCTTCGAAAGCTACAATAAAGTCACCTTTGTGCCATAATAACGTTTTGAAGTACTTTTTATTCGCTATCTAAATCAACACAAAAATAGTCTTAACCCAGCATAACTGCCTAAAGATGTTAGCTTTCGTACGAAAAAGTGGTCGTTTTGGTGTCTAAGTAAAGTCAATGTACAGTTAAGTAAAAAGTGTGCTGTTGGTACGAAATAAAAGTGTGAAAAGTGGAGATTTAAGTTTGCTTAAGGTCCAAGAACTGTTCAATATCAGCTATTGGGAAAATTCTCGCCTTGAAATCTTACGATCACGTGTTACACAAAAAAATTTACTATCACTATGTACAACATTGGAGGGGGACATGTCCCTTAACTACTACGGAATTTTATGATTACACAAGGCACAAGGATGTTGTCACAATCCTATTTCGGGATGAGAGTACTGTATTTGGAGTGAAATATCATAAAACCAATACATTCATACGTGAAAACGCCTCTCACTTAGTAATTTTTAACTCTGGTAGCTCATATGAAGATATTTCCAAAATTATTAGGTGCTATACTGAATGCATCAATGGTTATTAATAGTTACCTTCGAAAAAATGAATTTATTGTATTTGATCTTACTAGGTCAGAGGATGATCCTCTAGCAATTCGGTTAAGGTTTGATACTCCATTAGATTTGCAGAAGGAAATAGAATTGCGTCAAAAGAAAAAATAACAATGAACGTGACATCTTTGTTAAAATGATTAACCTATCATGTGATATGTGTTATGGAAAGAATTCGAATCTGCATTGCATCACAGGTCATGCGATACACCGATTACCAAATTTAATTAGCACCCCTTACTTCACTGAAGGACGTCATGCCAATATGTCTATTTATATTTCTAATTGTTGAAGACGTTTACTAAATCTATATCGCAATTGTTCCTTTTTACGATTTATCCAATTGTGTGGAATAATATATTCCTGATATATACCAATTTCAAATTCAGCTATATATGGATATCTATTATATTCTTTTATATACTCAGCATATTCCTTATTAAGACGTGTTTTTAATCGATCTAAGGAGTCTGGGTTTTTTATTTTTTGCGGAATTAAACCTAAAAATTTCTTATCATCTGGAGTATTATCATTTGGTAAGCTATTCCATG